TTTTTGAATTAACATATGTAGCATTTTCAATTTCTTGGCTAATATGCTACTTTGTTCTGCTCTAGTGGATATGAGATAATGAATAAACGACTATCTTTTTTGTGCCCAGATTTTATTACCTTGAGTACTGCCTTCTACTAAAAAATTTTTGGTTCAGGTTTGCAATTGTAGTTAATTGATCTAGGAAGATTTGATTCAGTACGGCAGGGTCCGCTGTTATTGATTAGAATCTTATATAAGGAGAGAGTACCATCATCTCTAGTTGGCAAATCCAATGAATATAATCTGAGGTTATGATAGTTGTTGTTGTTTACTTTTTTCGATTTTTCAGTTTCATTATACATCTGTCATTGGATAGGCGTTTTCTTTAAGACCTGTTCTACTTTTTGATATAGGTTCTATAGGCAATTTTCAACATTCACCGATTATCTGGAGTCATTTATACACAATCCACTTTTCAGCTCGTATTTTTGGGATGAAACTTAACACGCCCTTTTCTATAATTTTCATCAATGTCAAAATTAAAAGTTTGACAAATGAAAGCCCTCTTTCCAAATCTAAAAGGAAGAATCTCCCCTTTTGATCTTGAGACCTGATACTGTGAGGTCGGTCTTGGTCCTAATTATTTTTAGGCGAGACTTTTTGAAATCGAAGACTAACTTCTTGTTGATCATTGTCTAGAGTTGTCTCTTGGTCATTTTGGATTTTGTTTCGGTAAGTTTTGAGATTTTCTTCAGGATTATTAACCTACAACACGTGTTTCATTTCTTCAATAAGATCGTTCCGAGCACCTTTTGGAAGTTTAAGACTTCACCTTTGGCCTAGAGCATCCGTCAGGTTGAGGTAAGATTATTTCTAATGTTTGGGGCTCGATCTGTTTTTTATACGAACATCGTTATAGGATCCTAGGCCGTAATTAGAAGGTCCTAGGCTGTATTTAGAGAGATTCTAGGCTGGATCTAGATTGCTCTTAGTTGGGGCTTTAGTAGCTTCTCTTCAGCAACCCTTTTGGTACCACTCTGGTTCTATCAGACGTTGAGTTCTACGTTAAACAGATAACAACTGGATAGGGCTTCCATAGGACTCACACACCATAGCTTAGTCTGGAACAAACTTAGAACTGCTAACTGCTTCTGTCTGGATCTACCATGAGACCAAACATGCAGATAACCACACTTCAGGAACTTCAGAGTTGTCACATTCATTTGAAGATAACTAACACTGGTATACATGTAAGTTACACTTTATACTATTTAGGCAAATCTTATGTGAATCAGTTGACACTGAATTACGTTCAGTACGTGCCCCTTAAATAAAATTCTAGAATTTTACCCTGAGGTTGCCCAAACGATAACTTTCACCTCTCTGGTGTTTAATTTGCCTGTTGGTAAAGTGTAACCAATACTGTATTTTTTTTCATCATTCACAAGTGTAAATACCAAACAGTTTTAGTCATGTTTACTTAAAATTCATATTTATCTATACATTATTTACATTAATTTTTTTTATATATTCAAATATTTATAAATTAGATACAAGCCTGAATATACACATTTTTTTTAACGTCCTGGCTATCCCTATTTAATATTGTTATTATTTTTAATAAAGAAGCCAGATACATTATTGTACCTAATTAGTTGTTTTATTGCTAAGCTCTCCAATTGTACAGGTTTTGTTTATGACATCATTGAGTAATCTTCCTAGTTAAGTCACAATTAACTTGGTAGCGCCCAGAGATAAGATGTATACAAGGAACCCATAAACCCATGGCCTCCGAATTGATGCTGACTAGCCGTACGCAGTATAATTAGGCAATTGCCAAATAAGTAGTCTTTCTTTGTTCGACGAGAATAATTTTGGCAAGATTCACAGCAATTTTAATTTAGAACACTTTCGTTAGGCTTATAAGACTTTCAATTGAGACTCAGTACTTCTCAGAGCAGACCCATTGAGAGTTTTTCACACTCTCTTTGCTGATATTGTTAACGGTGCCTTAATCCAATGCAGACCCTAGAACTCACTGGAAACCTCTTTTTAAAGAGCACAAGATCCTCATCCTTCCGTCCCTATTCATTTATAGTAGGAAAATATGTGACATTTTGTGTCATGTTTGTCAATAAGAACTGATACATGTATTTAGTTTTTGGAAAATAAAGTACTTTCAATCAATCAATCGATTAGCTGATCTTTTTCAAATGTTCAAGTTTTGATTATTCCGGGCTCCTGATTGGAATCAAAAGCCAGAAATAATCACTCTTTTAGAATGTTGCTACCAGAAATCCGCCATTGTCTTGTCGATGTTCGATTGGTTTATATCAATGTGAAACTACAGAATAAATTTGATTAGCTGATCATTTTTATTATTCATCTTTTGATTATTCCCGGCTCTTGATTGGAATTGAATACCCGGAAAAATCACTCGGTTGTTAATTAATTCTTCAATTTAGAATGTCCTTACCAGAATTCCGTCTTTTTCTTATCAATATTTGATTGTTTTATATCACTGAGAAACTTTAGAAAATGGTATTAGAATTGATTCAATGACCTGATTTGTATGTAATGAAAAATATCAATAACGGGTTTCTCCTATTGCTGTATCAACAGTTTACAAGGTGTATCAGGTTTGACTACAAAAATTTTAACACGTGAAAATATAGCCCATTTTGAACAAAAAAAGTTTATACAACATGGGGTCTAAACTCAATAATTTTTTAGAAAAAGACCTTTGAAGTTCTGACATTTTTTGAAGAATATTTTAAAGATAAGGAAAATTTTAATCATTATGAGATGTAAAAAAAATTAGTTTATTCAATTATTAAGTTATTATGCATTTTTTAGTCAACAAAAGTTACAAAAAATTGGAAAAACAACATAAAAATTTCACTTGTAAATCGGTATCTAAACATCTGGCAATATAGCACAATAAAGAATAGGAGGTTGAACGTTGAACCTTGGTTGAACTGAATAAATTGATTCTTAAATTGTCTTGTCTAGTTGGAAAACGCGCGTAATTTAAATTCATTCAATTTTGAAAATAAAATGTTTACAAACGTCAAATATGCATGCAGATACTTGTTTAGGCAGAATCGCTGCAAAATGCTTTAGCAGCCAGAATTTATAGGAAGTGTACAAAATCTGCGTGTTGATTTTAGTGTTTTGAGAACCTTTTAACAAAAACTAATATTTTCATAATAAGAATTCGGCAAGTAGCTGAGTAAGTATAAGAAGTGAATAAATTTATTTTGATTTGTCTTGTCTAGTTGGAAAACGCGCGTAATTAAAATTCATTCTTTTTTGAAAAAATAAATAAAAAATGTTCAGAAACGTCGAATATGCATGCAGATACTTGTTTAGGCAAACTCGTTGCAAAATGCTTCAGCCGCCAGAATTTATAGGAAGTGTGCAAAATCTGCGTGTTGATCTTAGTGTTTTGAGAACCTTTTAACATAAATTAATATTTTCATAATAAGGATTTAGCAAGTAGCTGAGTGAGTATAAGTGAATGAATTGATTCTTGATTTGTCTTGTCTAGTTGGAAAACGCGCGTAATTTAAATTCATTCATTTTTGAAAAATAAAAAAGGTTTAAAAACGTCGAATATGCATGAAGATAGTTGTTTAGGCAGAATCGCTGCAAAATGCTTTAGCCGCCAGAATTTATAGGAAGTGTGCAAAATCTGCGTGTTGATTTTAGTGTTTTGAGAACCTTTTAACAAAAACTAATATTTTCATAATAAGAATTCGGCAAGTAGCTGAGTAAGTATAAGAAGTGAATAAATTGATTTTGATTTGTCTTGTCTAGTTGGAAAACGCGCGTAATTTAAATTCATTCTTTTTTGAAAAAAAAAAAAATGTTTAAATACGTCGAATATGCATGCAGATACTTGTTTAGGCAGACTCGTTGAAAAATGCTTGAGCCGCCAGAATTTATATAGAGAGTGTGCAGAATTTGCGTGTTGATTTTAGTGTTTTGAGAACCTTTTAACAAAAACTAATATTTTCATAATAAGGATTTGGCAAGTAGCTCAGTAAGTATAAGTGAATAAATTGATTCTTGATTTGTCTTGTCTAGTTGGGAAACGCGCTTAATTCAAATTCATTCTTTTTTGAAAATAAAATGTTTACAAACTTCGAATATGCAGATACTTGTTTAGGCAGAATCGTTGCAAAATGCTCATTCAGCCGCCAGAATTTACGGGGAAAGAAAGCACCCACCTGATAAAAAAACATTGTGCCCGTTTTATAAAGATTGCGTGATACAGGAAGTGTGAGTGTGCAAAATCTGCGTGTTGACTTTAGTGTTTTGAGAACCTTTAAACAAAAATTAATATTTTCATAGTACGGATTTGGCAAGTAGCTGAGTGAGTATTATTTGCATTTCGCGCACTAGATACAAAAATAACTATTAAAGTAGACGTATAGTAATATTTTTCCCACACGCTAGGTTTCTCTTGTGAGAGAGAAATTCTGTATTTATTGTTAAATTATAAAATTATTGTAAATTCTATATTATACTAAATGACATTAAATGCCAGCCATATAATAGTAATATAGAAATAGAAATGCGTATCGTATCCGCTCAAATTATGAAACACGATAGGAATTGCAAAATAATGTTTATAATTTAAGTTAAATATGATGAGCAAATCCTCTAAAATCTCCAGTGAGATGATATCTAACCGTCACAAATCATATCTTACCCCTAAAACGAATGATGAATACTGATCAAATACGATACCTAATGTATATTTTTTCATTTTATAAAAAGCAAATTTTAAAATTTATATGTATACGCCAAAAGGTTATATTTTTCACCCGTTTTTACCCTCAATATACCATTTTTTTTTTCCATGTTTCAGAGGCGAAAATTATGTAAGTAATTTACTTTTCGCGTCAAAAAAAAATTGTAAACCTGACCCTCGTCATTTTTATAATAATATATCGAGGTAAGGAAGATGTTGTGGGGAACTTGAAATAAATTGCGTATTTTTATGCTATTTTAAGTCAGGATTTATAGTTATTTCATAAAAATTATCACTTGGAAAATTGACAAAAATTAAAAACATTTAATAGTTGAGGAACAACCTCTAGTTTACTGTCTGGAGTATTTTTAATTTGCTTTTCAAATCGAATTCCAGACAAGCCAAAGTGTCGCCATTTCGCGACAATTCAATTTGCATGGGATGATTCAAGAACCGGTACGGAACTCCTAAGATGCTGGAACTGTCACCCATTGCAACTTGATCGACCTAAAGAAAAGAAAAAGGCAAATGAAAATTCGGTTTTATTTGTGAAAAATCTTGTGACGTTACTAAGACGGTAAATAAAATGAAAACACTTTGCAAAGAAAATTATCATATATTTTAAGTTATAATACTAAAATCCCTTCCACAACAAAGTCTCTCGTTAAATCCGGGAAAATCCCTGGTAAGCTTTTAACCAAATTAAAATTTGACGTTGCAAAAGCAGTCGAGATGATCCAGATTTCTGGAGTTCTTCCAATCAAGTTATATGATTGCACAAAGGTGCCGACGCCAACTAGGCCTCCCCTTTTAAGTTTAATATCTGTAATGCCACTCTGGAGGGTCGATACATTATTTTGGCTGCGGCTGCAGAAATTCCGAGGGGCGCAAGTGGAAAATATTGCCGGCTGTTGTGTATATTTCATCGATTTCCGAAGAAGGTCGGAGGGGTTTTGGAATATTGCTGACATTTTGGCAGGATCGTTATTCAAAGCTGGTCCGAGTTAATCTAGTAATTGGTATGATAAAAACGGAGGAAAAGTTTAAATCAAAATCAACTCTGGACAATTTGAAGCTTATTTTTGGTGATTTCACTTCAAATACTTCTAAAGCCATTCTGAAACTTTCAAGAAAAGTTTTTGGAATTATATAAAGTGCAAAATTTGTAAGTTTGTCTCCAGATTCTTTACATCCAAATTCAGGTAGTTTTTCCAAAATTTTAAATTTGTGATTTTTTGGAACTTTCTTCAGACCAGACACTGGAAAACTTATGGAAGCTATTTGCAAAAGGGTGAGTGTTCAGAATAGACAAAAGCGACCGACTCTGGACATTTTTTAGTTTTTGGGTAGGCACAAAAAGTGGAACAACAGACTGACAGGTCTTGTCATTTTGCGCTATTTTGCGTAAATAATTCTTTTCTCTACTATCCTAGCGTTCAAAGGTTCAACCTGTCAGGAGCCTTGGCATATCTTTGAGATCTACGCAAAAAGGGTGGAGATGTCCTGGGCAACAAGCGTGGAGATGTCACTGAATTATCAGAAACTATAACCTTTTTTTTAAATGGGATATTTAGATGTAAGAGAAATAGGAATAGGCAAGGAAGTAGGAGTTTTTGGTTCTAACACTTCTACCGAGGATATGACATTATTTTTTAACTCATGATTTTCTATAGATTTCCGGTCAACAGAATATTCCGTTATATTTTCGGGGTTATTCGGGTTTTCCAAAATTTTTCACAGAATTCTACTTGTCATGATCCCAGTCCAGGATTGCTTTAAGGTTCACTTAGTTTTTGATAAGTAATAATCTTATCGCTTGTCATAAATGATATTTGACATTTTGCCCAACAGTGTTGCCGATGTATAATTACTGTTATGGAAAATTTGAAATTTGCAAGGCCTACTTGGGCTTTTTTTTTTGTATAAATTTGAGCCTCAATGATTGACACAATATTTGTTATAAGTTGTAGTTGGCAATACTGTTTGACAAGGGACAAAGTAGGCATTGCAAAATTTTAAAATTTAAATATAGCGCCCTGTAATACCGACATTGCAATACATACATGTTTCCAAAGCTTACTTGGTTTGATATAACCCCGTAAGGCGAGAATTTTACTGAAAAATCAAATTTCAAGATTTCTGGTGATTTTTCATTCCAATTTCTAGTGAATTTAATTTTTTTAATCTGGCAACAGTGGTTAGTCCAGACAATTTTAAAGTTAATCCCAACACTTCCAAAAATTTTAAAGCAAGGTTTGTGAATCTTCTAAACCTATCAACTCTTTGGAAATTGTATTAGACCTTGTTGGAGCAGCTCTAAACAGTTTTTAGCAAGTTTTTGGACGATTCAAAAATCCGAATTTCCTATAGGGACCTGCTCAGATGCTTTAGAACTCGCTTCAGAAGCTTTAAAAGCAATTCTAGGCAGTTTAGAAATATGTTTCCAGGGATTTCAACACAAAACTGAGTGACTAAATTATTGGATTGTTGCTTCAAAAACTTTCAAAGCCATTCTAAACTAATTCAAACCAAGATTTTGAATTTTTTTGACTATTTACTCCATGGAAGTTACTCCAAACCTTCTTGAAGCTACTCTGGATTTTTTCAAAAAAAAGTTTTTGACAATTTGAGGTATTCAGAATGTTCAAGAGTGTCTTTAGGAGTGGTTTTAGAGACTTTGAAAGGTTTCGAGCTCATTTTTGAATGATTTTGAAAGTCTAGAACAAATAAGAGTGACTTTGGATGGATCAAACTGATTCAAATACTTTTGAAGCTACTCTAGACAATTTCCAGTAAGTTTTTCGACAATTGGAGTGATTCAGAACTGTTGAATGTTACTTCAAATGCATTGGAAATCACTTAAGAAGCTTTTGAAGCCTTGGAGCTACTTTTTTAGTGATTTTTAAAGTCTAGAAGAAGTAAGAGTAACTTTGAATGGATCATAAGTTGATTCATATACTTTTAAAGTTACTCTGGATAATTTCCTATGATGATTGGACTATTTCAGAACCGTTGAGAGTGACTTCAAATGCATGAGAAGATTGGATGGGAGCTACTTTCTTAGTGATTTTAAAAGTCTAGAACAATTAAGAGTGATTCTGGATGAATTCAAAGCAGGTTCGAGTTAATCTAGTAATTGGAACTCTAGATTTAGAAGCTTATTTTTGGTGATTTTGAAAGTGGAAAACTCGCTTCAGATCAGTCATCATTTGAAACTTTTGAAAAAAGTTTTTGGAACTGCTAAACTGTAAAGATTGTTTCCAGATTCTTTAAATGCAAATTCAGATGGTTTTTCCAAAATTTGGAACTTGTGATTTTTTGGAACTTTCTCGAGACAGTCACTAAGAACACTTTTGAGCGAGATTTTGGAAACTCTTAGTCTCTGAAATATACAGTCCATAAGAGTAACTTTAAAATTTTGTGGCTTCAGTTTTCAGACACTTTAAAGTCACTCAGAACACTTTCGAGTACAAGATTTTGAAAACTTCCACATTTTAGAACAGTTTAGAAGAATATTCGTAATTTGCTTCGAATACTTTTCAAATTACTTTAAACACTTCCAAGCAAAGTTTTTGAAATTTTTGAACCAATAACTATTTGATGAATCATAGGCTGATTCAGATACTTTTGAAGCTACTCTAGACAATTTCCAGTAAATTTTTTGACGATTGGAATGATTCAGAACTGTTTAGAGTGACTTCAAATACATTGGAAGTCATTTTAGAAGATTTTGAAGCATCGGAGTTACTTTCTCAGTGATTTTGAAGGTTTAAAACAAGTAAGAGTGACTTTAGATGGATCATAAGTTAATTAGATACTTTTGAAGCTACTCTCAACAATTTCTAGTAAGTTTTTCGATGATTGGAGTGATTCAGAACGGTTGAGAGTGATTTCAAATATATTGAAAATCCTTTATTGAGAAACTTTTGAAGCATTGGAGCTACTTTCTCAGTGATTTTAACTGTTGAGAGTGACTGAAGTGGAAAACTAGCTTCGGATAATTTTAAAGTCATTCTGAACACTTTTGAGTAAAGTTTCTGGAACTGCTGAAGTAGAAAGTTTGTTAGTTTGTCCCCAGATTCTTCAGATGCAGATTCGAGTAGTTTCACCAAAATCTGAAATTCTAGAATTTGTAACAGTCATTTTAAAATTTTTGGAATTTGCTTCAGTGGCTTCGAGAGTAATTCTGAGCAGTTTTCAGTTTTTGAGTAGGTAGGCTGGCCCCCCTGAAATATAGAGTCCACAGAATTACTTTAGAATTTTTTTAGTGGCTTCAGTCTTCAGACACTTTTAAAGTCACTCAGATCACTTTCGAACAAGATTTTGGAAACTCTAAATTTTAGAGCAGTTTGGACGTATATTCGTAATTTGCTTCGAATACTTTTCAAATTACTTTAAATACTTTCAAGCAAAGTTTTTGAAATTTTTGAACCAATAATTATTTGATGAATCATAGGTTGATTCAGATACTTTGGAAGCTACTCTAGACAATTTCCAGTAAGCTTTTCGACGATTGTAGTAATTCAGAACTATTGAAAGTGAATTTAAATGCATTGGAAGTCGCTTAAGAAGCTTTTGAAGCATTGGGGGAGTTAGTATCGCAAGGATTGTAAAAGTCTAGAACAAGTGAGAGTGACTTTGGATATTTCATAAGTTGATTCAGATACTTTTGAAGCTACTCTAGACAATTTCCAGTAAATTTTTTGACGATTGGAATGATTCAGAACTGTTTAGAGTGACTTCAAATACATTGGAAGTCATTTTAGAAGATTTTGAAGCATCGGAGTTACTTTCTCAGTGATTTTGAAGGTTTAAAACAAGTAAGAGTGACTTTAGATGGATCATAAGTTAATTAGATACTTTTGAAGCTACTCTCAACAATTTCTAGTAAGTTTTTCGATGATTGGAGTGATTCAGAACGGTTAAAAGTGATTTCAAATATATTGAAAATCCTTTATTAAGAAACTTTTGGAGCATTGGAGCTACTTTCTCAGTGATTTTAACTGTTGAGAGTGACTGAAGTGGAAAACTAGCTTCGGATACTTTCAAAGTCATTCCGAACACTTTTGAGTAAAGTTTCTGGAACTGCTGAAGTAAAAAATTTGTAAGTTTGTCCCCAGATTTTTCAGATGCAGATTCGAGTAGTTTTACCAAAATCTGAAATTCTAGAATTTGTAACAGTCATTTTAGATTTTTTGGAATTTGCTTGAAGAGCTTCGAAATTAACTCTGAGTAGTTTTTAGTTTTTGGGTAGGTAGGTAATGTTTCTGAAATATAGAGTTCATAAGAGTAACTTTAGAATTTTGTAAATGGCTTCAGTTTTCAGATACTTTCGAGCAAGATTTTGGAAACTCTCAGCAGCTACTTTCTCAGTGATTTTAAAAGTCTAGAACCAGTGAGAGTTACTTTGGATGGATCATAAGTGGATTCAGGTACTATTGAAGCTACTCTGGACAATTTCCAGTAAGTGTTTCGGCGATTGGAGTGATTCAGAACTGTTTAGACTGGCTTCAAATGCATTGGAAATCACTTGAGAAGATTTTGAAGCATAGGAGCTACTTTCTCAATGATTTTAAAAGTCTAGAAGAAGTAAGAGTGACTTTGGATGGATCATGGGTTGATTCAGATACTTTTGAAGCTACTAGGGACAATTTCCAGTAATTTTTTCGACGACTGGAGTGACTCAGAATGAAGCGACTTCCAAAATGCATTTGAAGTTACTTGTAACAGTTCTGAATCACTCCAATCGTCGAAAAACCTACTGGAAATTGCCCAGAGTAGCTCTGAATCAACTTATCCAAAGTCACTCCTAAAGCTTGTTTTTTTTTTCAAAGATAAAAATCAAAATGACATTATGTTGGCAAAACAATGTAAAATTATCAATGATTTCAAATGTTTTTATGTAGAAAAAGCTTGTGTTGCCAACATAGTTACTAAATTTTTGACTTGGGGAATTATCTTTAAAAAAAAATAGACTTTACTTGTTCTGAACTTTTAAAATCGCTGAAAGAGTTGCTCCCATGTTTCAAAAGCTTTTTAAGCGATTTCGAATGCATTTAAAATTACTCTCAATAGTTCTGAATCACTCCAATTGTCAAAAAACTTACTAGAAGTTGTTCAGAGTAGTTTCAAAAGTAACTGAATCAACTTATGATCCATTTAAAGTCACTCTTATTTGTTCTAGACTTCTGAAATCATTGAGAAAATAACTCCAATGCTTCAAAAGCTTCTTAAGCGAATTTCAATGCATTTGAAGTCACTCTCAACAGTTCTGAATCATTCCAAATCGTCTAAAAACTTACTACAAATTGTCCAGAGTAGTTTCAATCGTAACTGAATCAACTTATGATCTATCCAAAGTCACTCTTATTTGTTCTAGACTTTTAAAATTACTGGAAATATAGCTCCTATATTTCCAAAGCTTTATAAGCGACTTCCAATGCATTTAAAATCAGTCTCAGCAGTTCTGAATCGCGCCATTCGTAAAAAAACTTACTGAAAATTGTCCAGAGTAGCTTCAAAAGTATCTGAATCATCTCATGATCCATCCAAAGTCACTCCCACTTGTCGTCGGCTTTCAAAATCACTGAGAAAGTAGCTCCCAGGCTTTCAAAGTTTCTTCAGCGACTCCAATTGTCGAAAAACTTATGAGTATTAGGAATTGTCCATAGTAGCTTCAAAAGTCACTGAATCAATTTATGATCCATTCAAAGTCCCTCTTACTTGTTCTGGACTTCTAAAATTACTGAGAATGCTTCGAAAACTTCTTAAGCGACCAATGCACTTAAAGTTACCCTCAATAGTTCTGAAACACCATACAATCGATGGACAATTTACTGGAAATTGTCTAGAGTAGCTTTAAAAGTATTTGAATCAACTTATAATCCATCCATAATCACTTTTACTTCTTCTAGACTTTCAAAATCATTGAGAAAGTTGCTCCAATGCTTCGAAAGCTTCTTAAGCGAGTTCCAATGCAATTGAAGTCACTCTCCACAGTTCTGAATTACTTCAATCGTCGAAAAATTTACTGGAAATTGTTCAGAGTAGCTTCAAAAGTATCTAAATCAGCTTATGATCCATCCAAAGTCACTCTTACTTCTTCTAGACTTTTAAAATCATTGAGAAAGTAGCTGCAATACTTCAAAAGCTTCTCAAACGAATTCCAATGAATTTGAAGTTACTCTCAATAGTTGTGAATCACTTCAATCATAGAAAAACTTACTGGAAATTGTCCAGAAAGTAACTGAATCATCTTATGATCCATCTAAAGTCACTCTCACTTCTTCTAGACTTTTAAAATCACTGAGAAGATAGTTCCAATGCTTCATAATCTTTTTAAGTGACTTCCATTGCATTTGAAGTCACTCTCAACAGGCCTGATTCACTCCAGTGGTCGAAAAACTCACTGGAAATTATTTAGAGTAGTTTCAGTAGTATCTGAATCATCTTATGATCCATCCAAAGTCACTTTTACTGGTTCTAGATTTTCAAAATCACTGAGAAAGTAGTTTCCATGCTTCAAAATATTTTCAAGTCATTTTCAATTCATTTGAATCACTCTAATCATCGGAAAACTTACTAAAAATTTTCTAGAGTAGTTTCAAAAGTATCTGAATTAACTTATGATTTATCCAAAGTCACTCTTACTTGTTCTTAACTTTTAAAATCACAGAAAGTAGCTCCCATGTTTTAAAAGCTTCTTAAGCGACTTGCAATGCATCTAAAGTCACTCTCAACAGTTCTGAATCACTCCAATCGTCAGAAAACTTACAAGAAATTGTCCAGAGTAGCTTCAAAGGTATCTGAATCAACTAGTGATCCATCCAAAGTCACTCTTACTTATTCTAGACTTTTAAAATCAATGGTAAAGTAGCTGCCATACTTCAAAATTTTCTTAAGCGACTTCTAATGCATTTAAAGTCACTCTCAATAGTTCTGAATCACTACAATAATCGAAAAACTTACTGGAAATTGTCCAAAGTAGTTTCGAAAGTAACTGAATCATCTTATGATCCATCTTAAGTCACTCTTACTTCTTCTAGACTTTTAAAATAATTGAGAAAATAGCTCCCATGCTTCAAAATCTTCTTAAGTGGCTTTTAATGGATTTGAAGTCACTCTCAACAGTTCTGAATAACTCCAATTGTCGAAAAACTTACTGTAAATTGTACAGAGTAGCTTCAAAAGTATCTGAATGATCCATCCAAAGTAACTCTTACTTGTTCTAGACTTTCAAAACCTCTGAGAAAGTAGTTCCCATGGTTCAAAAGCTTTCTAAGCTACTTCCAATGCATTTGAAGTCACTCACAAGAGATCTGAATCCCTCTAATCTTCGAAAAACTTGCTGGAAATTGTCCAGAGTAGCTTCAAAAGTATCTGAATCAACTTATGATCGATCCATTCAAATTTACTCTTACTTGTATCACACAGGAAGTAGCTCCAAGGTTTCAAAATCTTTTTAAGTGATTTCCAATGCATTTAAAGTCACTCTTAACAGTTCTGAATCACTCCAATTGCCAAAAAATTTACTGAAAATTGTCCAGAGTGCCTTCAAAAGCATTTGAATCATCTTATGTTCCATTTAAAAACATTCCCACATGTTCTAGACTTTTAAAATCACAGAGAAAGTAGTTGCCATGCTTCAAAATCTTTTTAAGCGACTTCCAATGCATTTGAAGTCACTCTCAACAGTTCTGAATCACTACAATCGTCGAAAAACTTACTGGAAATTGTCCAAAGTAGCTTCAAAAGTATCTAAATCATCTTATGGTCCATTCAAAGTCATTCTCGCATGTTCTAGACTTATGAAATCACCGAGAAATGAGCACGAAATCTTCAAAAGCTGTTAAAATAATTTCCAAAGTATTTTAAGTCACTCTCAGAAATTCTGAATGCACCAAATCGCCGAAAACTGTTTTGAAAGTATCTTCAGTAGCTTCATAAAGGTTAAGAGCGATTCTTCAGAAGGTAATCTAGACATTTAGAAGGTATTTTTTCGAAAATTGAAATTTCTATGGAGTGACTTTGGAAGTTGCTCAAATTACTTCGAATGCGATTTGTAATTTTAAAGCTATAGACTATATAAAAATGACTTTGGATTTGTTGTTTGCTTTTTCAACTCCTTGGAATTTGCTCCAGATTTTTTTGAAACCACTCTGGACACTTTTCATAATGATGAAGATGATGATGCCGTTAATGAAGACAATGAATGATGCAAAAAAAAAGTGATTATGATGTTGATAATAAATTATTGATAAATAAATATTGCTGATTGATAATAAATTTAGGTGACACTCTCCAAGCAAATGTTTTTACCTCGAATTTCTGTGCTTTTATAGGACACATCGGTTTAACAAACACCCGTCCGGACTTGTCTAACCTGTTCCGAACTGCCCTGTCCAGCAATTTACACAATTTGACCTCTTTCAAATAGCGCCTTTTCACTCCACCCTCTCTATCCAGTTTTACAACATTCAAATCGATACTATCGTCGATATCGAAATTCAAATGAAGGTGTCCATTAATCTGGAAAGTGTGATTTTCCAGCCATTTTACTCCAATCGAGACGTCCAGATTTGTGTTGTTTTTACGGTTGCATTGGTCCAGGGAATTAATGGTGATTTCTGTTGTTGGAATTAACTGTGAAAGAATCAAAATACTGATAATAAAAACAATTTTCAATTATTATAACAACCAGCTGTCTGTATTGAGTTTTATGAGAGAAATAGAAAGTGCACTATATGTCCCAGTTTCCTGCTCGTAAAAATCGGGTTTTATAGAGCGTGCAAAATTGAGAAAATCGCATTAGAGCCGGCTGGCTTATTTTTGTTTGATTTTCGCGAAACATGTCTCGGTTCGATGCGATTGATATTTTTTGTTGAATGATATACACAAGGCTATTTTCAAATCTTAGACAAAATAAAACAAACCCTTCAAAATTAAGCTGCGGGAAAGATCCGCCATCACAGACACGATATACGGCAATAAATAAACACGGGGATTTGTTTTTGGGGGAAAAATAAGGCAAACACACCGTTTCAGAACATGAAATACAATGCTCTTTTCAAGATTGCATTTTTGTTCCGGGATAAAAATCCAGAAGAGGAAATCTCGACGATTGAGTTACGGCTTTTCCAATAACAAATAAGATAACTAGGAGATGAATTCATATATGTGTATAGGGTAAATTGAAAATTACAAGCTAAGTTACTTACCGCTTCGGTATATCTGAGATAAATTCCAAACAATATGGAGATTATAATGTAAATCAACATGGTTTCTTCGCCGGGCATTGGTAATGGAAGCCATTTGCAAAAACACATTTTTATCTAAAAAATCCGATATGGAAAAATCTTATTTTATTATAATGCTCGTATTTTAATATTTCCTGCTATTGTCCCGCAACAATAATAGTTTTTGATCTTATCTCAAAGTGTTGGTTAATGAGCCATTTTTTTTTAAAAATACCTAATTGCTTGGTTTTGTAAATCTATTTGTTTGAATTTGAATCAATTGAATTTCCTAGAGTGAGTTGTTCTGAAATGAGGCATTTTTTCGATGTGTAAAATCCTTTTTTCATTGAAATTTGTAGAAGTTGTTTCAAATGATTTCATAATCTATCTTCTTCCTAACAAAAAAAAAAATTCTGAAGTTTGTTCAAATGGAGGCGGAGAGGAAAATAAATTAGGGAACAACTTCAATAAATTTCGACGAGGAAAAAAAAAGAGATCAAGGAAAATAGAAATTTGAAGCTAGGTAGGTACTTCACAAACTTTGATGGTGAAGAAAATAGGTGTGAAAGGAAAAAAGGAAAGGAAATGCGGACTAGAAATCTTGACGGGGAAGAAAATAAAGATGAAAAAAAGATGTACCTATTAAGGAGAAGAGAAAAATTATTTCAAACTATGTAATTTCAACCAATCTTGAAAAGAAAGTTAAAGCTGATTTAATAAATTAATGCAGATAATACAGAACCGCAAAAATGCTGGAAGCAACTGAAATGGACTTTTGGAGGAGATCCGCAGGCAGGTCAAAGATGGAAAGGGTAACAATTCTGAGAATAAGGGAGATTATGGACGTAAAACATACAATAGTAGATGATATAAAGGACAAATAGCTAATTTGGTTCGGACATGTACAAAGAATGGCTGTTTTGGATCTTTGAATTGTGGTTATGTTAGCTGTTTTGTTTGGGAATTCTTGGAGTGGGAAGGTTATGTAAATGTTCACAGTTTGCACAAACGATTATTTTATTTCGTTACTTACAAAATACACTTTGCACAACCGAACACTTAAATTCTTAAAAAACAAGTTTGGTTTAACAGGTTGGTGTGTCAGAATGGCAAAAAAACTTCGGAATCTATATAATAATTAGGTGCTTTCTAGGTGCTAATTAGGGCCTCTAATTAAAAATTAGGTGCTCCTCTAGTTTTTGAGAAAATCGAAAAAACTAAGGGATTGCTAGGTTTATGAAAGCTAGTAGTCCCCTATAGTGGAAAATATTTTTCCAAAATTTTCTTTTGTATCAGAGTTAAGTGCTTTTAGGTGCTCTTAAATAGTCGAAGAAAAAAAAGAATTGATTAATTATTAACTGAGTTACAGATTTTTTTTTAAATTATTAGGGGACTGCTGGCTTTACGTTAACATGTTGGTGTATCAGAATGGCAAAAAAACTTCGGAATCTATATAATAATTAGGTACTTTTTAAGTGCTAATTAGGGACTCTAATTAAAAATGAGGTGCTCCTCTCTTCCCTACTAAGGCAAAATGATCTATTTTCAAAAATGCAAATTCGAGAAAATCGACTTTTTATGATTAATTTATATCAATTGAAAATGATGTACTATTTGGACTACGGATTTAGTGCATATTTTTAAGGAGTGTTACAAGAACTATGTACTAAAATATCCGTCATATTGGTATGGTTTTAAGCTTACTTTATGGCTGATAATTGTTTTGTCTTAGTTTTTTTATCCAGATAATAATATATATTAAAAAGGCAGAGGGATCTATTATACATTAGATTATTTTGCCTTTGTGTATAATATTTTTATGCCTCAACAAAGCAATCACATTTACCTTTAATGTACTTTAGCTGTTTTTCTAATCTAAAAAGAAATCAATCAAATTAATATGAAATCACGAAACATCGGTGCAAAATATCTTTATTAATTCAAAAATATAAATTCAAAATAAACAAGAAAAATCTCCAACGAATAAACAAAAAAGAACATATTTCAAATGCCATCATTCAAAACGTCACCGGCGTTATTGTTTTCAGGAAGATTTAACCAGAACTGCCTTCTAGTTTCTGTCATTTTAGAAACTAATCTCTTCACTATCGTTTCTTTTTTTGCAGTGGAAATGCCTCTTGCTTCTTGAATATGCTGCGGTAATACTAAAGAGATATTTTTCTTTAATATGTTGCTACGGCAACTGTAGTCATCTTCATCGTAGTTGGTTTTTACGTATAAGCATTCTGATCCCTTTATAAATTTCATAGCTACAATATCTTTAAAATATGGTAACTGGTCAGTGACTTCTTGTTCCAATTTTTTTTTTCGGCTGAAAGTTTTTAACTTATTTTCAAGCTTTAAAAAGTCATTATATTGCATTTCTAAAACATTCATGCGGGCTGAAGCTTTTTTGCAACACTCTTTAAAATCCATGAAATCTTCCACATTTCCCATTTTCCTAACAGCTTGTTCTATTTTCCCGAGTAATCTATCGGCAGCCATATAAGTGTGTACTGATATTAGATATTTCAACGTGATAGTTTTCGTGGTACATAAGGAAGAATTTATGTAAGACAATATAGCAGAAATTAATATGTTATTCTTATTTTGACCACTAAAATTATCTAACCAAAGTATAATGTGTTCCGCATCTCTGTTACATTCCAAGAATTTCAAAAACGAGGACGCTATATCTTCAGCCCGTCTGCCCGCTATTGCTTCGTGCCACAGTATACAAAAATGTTCATATTTTTTTGCCATAGCACCAAATGTTTCGTTAAACAACACAAGATGGGATGTGAAAAAGGAATCCTTCACTTTTAGCATTCTTGGTAAGAGAAAAACCTTCTGGAGATCAGCAGCGTAGACTCGGAGAAGATTCAACTGAGCTGATAATTCGCCGTCTCTTCTATACTGGGACCGTACTTTTTCAACCTAATGAAAACAAAATTATGGTTAGTTAAAGCAATTTTTTTATTGAAAGGATCTAACCCACCGATTGTAAATGAGCTTCTTTTAATTTTAAATTATCTTCTGTAGGATTCATATCCATCTCTATGCAAAACCCGCATTTGTCCGCTTCCAGGTCATAAAATCCAATATTTAAATTATCAACAACCTGTCTATATTTCTCGTAAGATACATTCATATCATTATTTTCTTTAAAATCTGTATACATATATTTTATTGTCAGATCTGGAGGCAAATATTTTCGGTTTGGGGCATGACTTCGTCTGTAATGGGAAGGCTTGGGATTGAAACTAGTAATAAAGAAAGAAAGAAAGAAAGAATTTGCTTTATTGTCAGAAAATTTTACAATTTTGTGGACAAAGCTGAAAAAATAAAAAACAAAACATACAAATGCAAAAGCACAGACAAAACCAAACACTTGAACAAATAGTTCATGGTCAAAATTTGATTAAAACTAACAAACAAACATCTAGGTCTAACTGCTTATACTGTGCGAGTAAGCATATTATAGGTACTAAAAAAACAAACAAACAATAACTTATAATAACCTATCATGATACAGGAATAAATTATCAAACTTGGTTATTGCAGTAAAGTCATTATTAGTGGACATTATCATAGTGCCTCCGTGAGATAAATTACTTCGATTAAATCTAGCTATTGAGGTGTAATTTTTGACAAACACAGGTTCATCCATATTTAACCAGTGTTCAGTAATGGCGATGATTTCTGGAAAATTAAGCTCTTCTAATAAAAGAAATAATTCATCTGTTTTGTGTCTTAAGGACTGAATATTAATAAGAAATACACTAAGCTTGCCATCGTCCAACCTTACAGAGGGTGCTTGATCCTCTGGTCGCGTCACCTTCTCTAAAAATTTTTATTATTACGTGGAGAGCCACTAGAGAAATATTTGCTCTGACTTTCCCTAATATTCTGTAACCGGAGAAGTTTCTCGGACGAGAAGTAAGACCTGAAGGCGGAGAGATCAGCGTCAACTTCAGCCAGACTAATGCCATACGCGTTGTGGAAACGGAAATATAACTTCCGCAAATGAGTCCAAGTCACTAGGAAGTCCCTCCGAAGCTAACATTAATTTGATGCTGGTGTTAGTGTGCCCATCAAAACACACGGTGGATGGTTGGTCATGGAGATAAGCCAGGAATAGCCTAAGAGCTTTAAGAATGGCAGGGTCTCTTAGTCTAGCCAATAAATATCGACCATCAGCTGTATCAGAAGCTCGCGATAATCGCACAATGGGTGGAGTCATCGGGTCCATGATTGATTCATCTTTTTTTCTACTTGTATCCATAACAATTTTTGTGCTGTCTAGTGCCAGGGACTTAGAAACAGCTATAGCCTCCCTGTCAGAACCAATCCTGATAGTTTTATCATCCTTAGTCGGGTTAATCGGGGTTGAGTCATGCCTTTAAAAGTGTTGCAGATGAATTAGCAGTCTCTATACCCGTACCTGGAGGCCACATGCTTCTGTCCAAAAGCTGCTTTAGGTGATTTTTGTTTTGAACGCCAACTTTGAAATCAGTGTGAGAGCAGTCTTTATTTTGGAGCATTGGAAAGCATCTGATAAACTCCGTGGTTCCAAGTTTTTCCTTTACAAAATGAGCAAGCTGTTTTGCTGTAAAAGGATGGGGGATTTTTGACACTACCACATAATGCCAGTTTTCTTTTAGGGCGGAATTCTGAGGTGGGGGACAGACTCGGGAATCAATGACCACTTGCGTAACAGGGAATGTCTCTTCACTATCGGTCTGGGTTGAAATCGACGCTGTAATTGACTTTTTTACAGGTGGCGGGCTGCTCCTAGTAGACGGTTTCTCTTTGCCTGCTAACTTTTCCAACGTGAGCGCCATTTGGTTGACACATTTCCTCAAATCTGCCATTTCCCTTGTTAACTCTTCTTTTGAAGAGTCATGTACCTGAACCTTTATAGACTCATCATGACCGTCCATGAAGATCGACGAAATGTTGCACAAGTCTCGTTTCATTTCCCTAATTGAATGGAATAGAGATTGTTGTCCACTCTCAGAGTACTCAGAATGGTGGTTGTGTATGTCATCCACTTTCTTGGATAAGTCGCTCCACCTGGAATCATGAGCGCTTAAGGTGTCGTAGATTTCCGAAATGACCGGATGAAGTTTTTCACTGTTCTTAAGACATGCACCCAGAGCCTCTACAATTTCCAGAGGGATTTGGCCTTTCTGTAGCTGAGACACTTTATCGTGAAGATATTTTAACGTTGGAGAATCACAGACACTACAGAAAAATCTAATATTGTGACACTTTTGTTGGCAGAGCATCTTTGTTGTCATTTTATCCAGACCAGTGCAGCTCATACAGAAATGCCGGCGACATTCACCGCTACAGCGAAGTTTATACTTGTCCTTGTCAGAGGTGATTTTTTGACAGGAGTCACACTTAAACTCGGCCATCTTTGCACAAAGAAAAGCAACGACGCAAGGCTGAAGTTCAATACACGCAAGGTTCAAGTTCAACAATTTCGTACCATGGTCATCTTTTGAAGCTTTAGATAAAGATTGAAGAACACTGGTGCTTTTATAACCCAACGTGCTAAGAAAAAATTTTTGACACACTTCTATTCTATCATCATTTTCATCAAAGTAATATCGTCTGGAATAATTTCTTTTGGTACCCTGCACCTTTCGTTTTGCACACATTTCAATTATTCGGGTCGATAACCAGATTGTTTGATCGTTTTTAGACATATTCCAAAATTGAGTATGGATATTTTTTCTTGCTTCCCTGTTTATCTTTTTGTCGCAGTTTTTTTGTTTTACAATTGCACACTTCGTTTATAAATGGATGCTTATTTCTGGCATTATTCTGTTTCTCCGTTTCGGTTCTGGCTCTTTTTCTATTTATATTTTGGGATGTTATTGCTGGTTGTTCTTCTTGAACAGTATTATTATGGCCTACTACTGTCCCAGGATGTTGTTCGACATTCTCGACATTTTCTATGCCTACTTCTTGTCCTTCTTCCTGATGTTCTATCATATCATTTTCATTCCCGTTTAAGCATTCATTATCGGAAAAAATTTCTCTATTAGGCATACATTCCGATGAATTTGAATTTGATTCTGGTACAAGCGCGGTTCCAGAAGGTTCTTCGATATTTCCGGAATATTTGTGCTTCTTTCTGATGCTCGTTAACTTTTTTTTCTCCTAAATTTAAACATTCATCACCATCGGGTACAATTTTTACATTAGGCACACATTCTGATACATTTGATTCCAATACAGGCGCAGGAAAGTTTTGAATAGAAATTGTATCAAATGTCGTGTTTACTAAATTAAATAGGTTTCTCTTGGCATTCTGAATTCTGCGTTTTTTAATGATTACCGCTTCATTCTCGGAATCAGTTGAATTATTGTAGTCTTCATCGTTTGGCAAATAATTTTGGTCATCGCCGGAGTCAGAAGATTCGCTATCTTGGTTTTCGTATTCCTGAAATGATAATTATTACCTAGGTATGAGAGGTAATAGTTATTTTTTATACAAGACGAAAAAATTATAGTTTATCGTTGACCGGAAAAGTTAATTCACGAGCGGAATGTCGACTACCTTATATTTGTATTCACAAATAATTGATGTTAAGAAAATGTTCGTAAGAGATTTATTTTGATTTTATACAACCTGATTGAAATTTAAACCACATATTAAATTAGGTAGGTACGTATGTTTTATGTATTTCCACTCATAATAGTGCCAGAATGCACTAAAACAAAACTGTGTGCGGTAGAAACAAACTCAACTAACCAAAACCTCCTTACAACAAACTTAACTTCACCGTGTATCATTAATTTAGCTGGGATAGAATAAGAAAGTGTCATCTACTTACCATCTCCTGCATTTTCTCAAAGGCAACTTTCCCCATTTGGGCAATTCTCTTAGCTCTAGAAGACATTTCTGATAGCTTAAACTTGCCTTTGATAACCACGAACCAAAACCACCAATCATAAGCCTTGTGATTTTTGAAAGGAAACAGGTAGGAGGGTAACAGGTTTGCACTGGAAAGTTAGGTTATTGTGACTAACCGTCGCGCGGGACGTCATTCCTACTACTTTATAATGGTAAAAAGATCTAATGTGTGTTAGCGCTTTGTATAAATAGGCGCATTTTCATACACTTGCAATGGTAAAAGAATCTATTGTTCAAGTTTTGGATTTGAACTATGGCAAAATAGTCTAATATACAATAGATTGTTTGCAAATGTATCACCCAACCAAACGCAAAACAATCTAAAGTACATTAGCTTTTTCTGTCATTGTTCATAACTGGGTTCTAAGAATCTAAAGTACAATAAACTGTTATGCCTTTGATTTTTTTTTCAAAATATGTTTATTAGACCCTTTTGCCTTTGAATGGCCGGCAAAGTTGTAACAATAGACTGTTTTTCCTTTTTTTTTATTTTTAAACTAATTAGCCTAGGAATACCGCTCCTGCACCAAAATTTAGAACAGCTTCTGCGCATCACATAAATGTAAAAAAAACAAATGGCAATTTTGCGATTAGACTTTTTTGTCTTTGTAGGGAAGCTCTGGTTTTCGAGAAAATCAAAAAAAACTAAGGGATTGCTAGGTTTATGAAAGCTAGTAGTCCCCTATAGTAATAGTATATTACATACCGAGTAGGGAAGTGTTTCATTACTGTCGAGAGATTTATATAGTCAATCGAGACGCGAAGCGTCGAGATTGACTATTAATCTCGAGACAGAAATGAAAACTTCCCTCCGAGGTTTGTATACTATTTTATTTGCAAGCACACCATTAATTATGATTAGTCATTCAATTTTTCTAATATTAAAAAAAATAAAACAAACATGCCAAAATGTGTCATTCGCTGCTTTGACATTTTTACCTGACTTGTTTTCATTGTTGCCAGCAAAGGTGAATAAATTAGAGTGAGGGAAATCGGTGAGGGAAGTCGAATAGGGAAATCGGTGAGGGAAATCGAAGAGGGAAGTGACACAGGTAAAGTGTCACTTCCAAATTTTTAAAAAGTCAGTAATGACAAGATTACATATATGATTGCAAATAAAAAATATTTTTCCAAAAATGTCTTTTGTATCAGAATTAGGTGCTTTTTAGGTGCTCTTAAATAGTCGAAGAAAAAATAAAATTGATTAATTATTAACTGAGTTACAGATTTTTTTTTCATTTTAAGGGGATTGCCGGCTTTAAGTTCACTTGTTGGTGTGTCAGAATGGAAAAAAACCTCGGGGTCTATATAATAATTAGGTGCTTTTTAGGTGCTAATTAGGGCTTCTAATTAAAAATTAGGTGCTCCTCCAGTTTTTGAGAAAATCAAAAAAAATTGAGGGACTGCTAGGTTTATGATAGGTTTAGCAAACCCCTATTGTAAAAATATTTTTTCCATTCTGACACATCACCACGTAAACGTAAAGCCAGCAGTCTCCTTAAGATGAAAAAAAAAATCGGTGACTCAGTTAATAATCAATCGATTTAATTTTTTTTTTTTTTGACTAGCTCTAGGAGCACCTAATTTTGATACAAGAGAAAAATTTGAAAAAATATTTACCTACGAGCGTGCGGTAAAGTGTACTTTACCGCACGTATTTGCAAATGGAAAGTAGCACTTTACCGCACACTATGCGGTAAAGTTAACTTTACAGCATAGTGTGCGGTAAAGTGAACTTTACAGGATAGTATGCGGTAAAGTGAACTACAAAGTATGCGGTAAAGTGCACTTTACCGCATAGTGTGCGGTAAAGTAGAATTTGATATTTATAATCAAAAATCCTTTTTTTTCCAGAAAATGGATTTTTGATAACTTCTAAATCTAATCTAATTTCATTCATTAATCTGATTCAATAATTAATTTTATCAATGCCCTTTTTTGGAGATGTAGATGCTCATAGGTAAAATTTTGTACCTAACACATGCGGAAAGTGCCTTTACCGCTCTTAACTGCCGTTGCGTGCGGTAAAGTATCACTTTCCGCATTTGTTATGTAAATAACTATTTTACAATAGGGGTTTGCTAAACCTATCATAAACCTAGCAGTCCCTCAGTTTTTTTTTTGATTTTCTCAAAAACTGGAGGAGCACCTAATTTTTAATTAGAGGCCATAATTAGCACCTAAAAAGCACTTAATTATTATATAGACCCCGAAGTTTTTTTCCATTCTAACACACCACCAAGTGAACTTAAAGCCGGCAGTCCCCTTAAAATGAAAAAAAATCTGTAACTCAGTGTAATATTTAGGTGTAAATAAAATACGATTTTACGACAATTCCGTTTATTATTGATACACTAATATTAATTGTATATAGGTACCTACATGGTACCTACATATTTACCTTAGGATATGAATAGCCGCTGGAGAGTAGGTACTATTATAATATATAAATAAAATGCAAACACTACATTCCTCCCCTTTTAAATTACTACCAAACAAAAATAGATGAATTCTGTCCCAATACCCAATTTATAAAATTAACTAACCAAAAATAACAAAAAAAACGTTATTACAAGCTAACATGGTACGAACCGTTCTACCGGCTTCCGCACTCTCTGTGGCCTAGGAGAGGGCGAATCAGCAGAATCATCAGATACTCCGGAATAAGGAGAACCACCAGACACCTCAAAAAAAGTGTCATCCATTTCATTATCGCTTAGTTTAATAATACTACTAGCGTTTATCAAGTCATTTTCTGAAGATGACTCTGCTGTCTCTGAAAGTAACTCTGCTGGCTCTACTACATTAAAATTAGGATCTAATTTCCTAGTTCTCAGGGGCATTACTTGATTCATGTGACGTTTCCACATTAATGAAGTATTTGGAATTTTTACATATATAATATTTGCATTAACAACACTAACCACTAACCCTATTATCCACTGAGGTTTGGCCCTTCTATAATCCTTAACTAACATTTTTTGTCCAACTTGAAACGATTTACGCGATTTACTAGAATAATACTTTTTCTGCCTTTTTTGAACATTTTCAAGATTTTTCTTTACTTCTTCCAAAGACTTTGATGGTCTAAAACCAACATTTGAAGGCTTTAATAAATCTAATCTAGTCTTTAATGGTCTTCCGAGCATCAAACGGGCTGGCGACTCCCCCGTGCTACAATGTTCAGTATTCCTATAAAGAATTAAAAAGTTTTTTAAATCCTTTTGAGTCAAATTCTTAGGTTTTGAAATATTATCTAAGAAATTGTATGAACTTTTCAACTCCTTGAGCAGGTAATATTTTACAGTCTTAACGCTATTTTCAGCAGCACCGTTTGATGCTGGATGATAAGGTGGTGACGTCACATGATTAATACCATTATTTTTTAGAAATTCTTGAAATTCCCGAGATACGAACATTTTCCCATTATCAGAAACAATTGAATCAGGCAAACCGAATCTAGAAAAAAGTCCCCTTAATTTATCTATTGTGCTCTGTGCCGTTATATTGGACATTATAAAAACTTCCAGCCATTTAGATAAAGCGTCTAGCACCACCAAACTTTGCCATTGAGTGGACCCAAAAAAATCCACGTGCATTCGTGACCATAATTTATCTGGAACCCGCCAGGGTTGCAACTCCGTTCTAGGAGGATTATTTCTCAAACTCAAGCAACTTTGACATGATTTAATCATATCTTCAATGTCATTATTGAGTTCGGGCCACCACACATGCGATCTCGCTAACGATTTACATTTCACTATGCCCAATGTGATTTGTGCAATTCGGCTAGTACTGCCCCCTGAAGTGATGTTGGAATAATAACACGATAACCCCAAATTAAAATATTATCTTCGACCCCAATTTCCCCCTTTCCGTTTAAAATATGGTAACAGGTTTCAACTCACTTTATCAGGCCATCCATTTTTTACATAATACATAACAGTTTTCAAAAGTTCATCCCTTGCAGTTTCTATTTTCATTTTTTCGAGATCCAAGATAGTATGACAATTTTCACTTACATAATTTAAAGTTACATTAACCTCTTTCGGCTCCGTTAAACTATAAGTATTCTCCAACGGCAATCTAGACAAAAAATCTGCGCAATTTTCCTTACTCTTGATATAAATAATATCAAAATCATAAGAGCAAAGAAATAAAGCATAACGCTGCAAGCGATTCGTAACCATAACTGGTAACCCTTGTTTTTTTTTCCAAAAATTGAGATTAAAGGTTTGTGATCGCATTTTAATAAAAATTTCCTACCCCATAAGAAGGAATGAAACTTTTTTACTCCAAATACAATACTCAGAGCTTCCTTATCAATTTGTGAATAACGCTTTTCCGCATCTGATAATGTTTTTGACGAAAAAAGCAATAGGTCGTTCCACCCCACTAGGGTAAACGTGTGACAGCGTAGCTCCCAGCCCATAAGAGGATGCATCAACAGTCAAAACTAAGTCTAAATTTGGATTATAATGTGCCAAAAACTGATCAGAAGCTATAATTTGTTTTATTTTTTCAAAGGCTGTGTCACATTCTACTGTCCAAAAGAAAGTCATTTCCCTTTTTCAAAAGCTTATATAATGGATATAAGATATCTGATGTATGAGGAATAAATTTATGATAATATTGAATTGAGCCGATAAATGATTGTAGTTGTGCCATATTTACAGGCCGGGGTATTTCCAAAATTGCCTCAATTTTCTTTTTTGACTTATGCAACCCCTCCTTATCAATGACATGGCCCAAATACTCAATAGAGTCCTGAAAAAATTGACATTTTTCCCTTTTAATTGTTAGACCACAATTATTGCTTAACCTCCCTAACACTGCATTTAATCTATCGCAATGTATTTTTTTATCCTCCTCCGTGATCAATATATCATCAAAAAAACAGCAAACTCCGGGAATCCCTAGCAGAACCTTTTCAATAATTTCCTGAAACATTCCCGGAGCACAAGAAACGCCAAAAGGCAATCTAGTGTAAGCATAACATCCCTTATGAGTCGAGATCGTGGTGTATTTGATTGAGGCCTCA